CCTGGAGTTTCTCCTCCTCTGCAGAATGACGGGCCCTCCTCCTGGGGGGCTGGGAGGCACCCCCAAGGGCTCAGGCAGCCCCATTCTGGCCAAGGTCCTGTGAGGGCCAAACTTGCGAAAGTCTGGAGGTGGGGTGGGAGGAGCATGGGGGTTCAGAGGGGGGACAGTCTGCATGGCGGGACTTGCAGGGGGCCGATGGTTGGCTGAGTGTCTCTAGGGGCCAGGGGAGCACCAGGCACCAAGGGGGCAGCGCCCAGCTCCAGGACAGTGCGGGGAGGTGGGGGAGGTCGGGACCTTCAGTCTATTCTCAGGTACACTCGTTTTTTCTAGAAATGCTTACTGGTGGCCTCCAGAGGCCAGGCCTGAGCTGGATGCCGACACCTGGCTCTGCCCTCAAGGTCTGGGGGTTGGGGGATACCCAAGGGAAAACGTGGAGATGAAGCTGGCCTTGGGGAGGGGACAAGGAGAGGCCCTGCTGGGGAGGTCCAGGATGGGCCAGGGTAGAGGGGGCCTGTCGGGCCGAGAAACCTGGGAGGAGGCATGGGGTGGGGGTCTGGCCAGTGGGGTGCAGTGAGCAGGCCATCAGAGGTGGTGGGTGTTTTCTGAGCTCTTCCCGTGTGGCTGCAGGATGCCCCCAACATGCAGAGGACTGAGGGGCCCTGGGGGGCCGAGGAGGACTGTGCCTCTCTGTTTCCCTTAAGTGGCCTGGCCTTCCCGCCAGCGGGGGCCGCCCCAGGCTGCTGGGCCCAGCTCTCCTGAGGCCCAGCCGTGGGGACACCCCCTCCTTTCCAGAGGAGACCTGCTGTCCTCGTGCGGGTATCAGCGTCTCAGATTCCACAGCTTGTCGAAGGCTCCCCAGGGTGGCAGGAGGCAGGACCAGGGGTCACGGATGAGGTGCCTACAGGCCTCTGGGCGCTTGGCCAGGTCCCCACCATGGTCCAGTCTGCAGATGGGAAGCACACTGGGATGTGAGGCCTTAAGCCTGATGGGCCTCAGGAGTCTTGAGGCTGCAGGACACACAGCCTACCTCAGCTCCTGTGGAAGCCCCACCCCGATCCTGGTGGGCAGGCACTGGCCTCACCCCTAGCCCAGCCCTGCTGCCCACATTTCCCAGCAGACCGCCCCATGGGGTGCTGCGGCTCTGGGTGGTGGGGGGTCAGAGCAGGTGCATGATGGAAGGCCTCCCTGCAAGGTGGCAGAATGAAAGTGTGTGGCTTTTCATGACGCAGCAGCAGAGGCCTCCTCCTCGGTTCACGCAGGAGAATCCAGGGCCTCTGGTGTCCCAGGGGCCTGATCTCCCTGCCCATCGTCTGCACATTGGGTGGCACCACGTTCTGCACCCTCCCTTCTCTCTCTGTCCCCCAAGCTCCCTGGGTTCCATGGCAACGTGATGTGCACATCCAGGACTTCACCCCGCACTCTCCAGACACAACTCCCCCAGGGGAAGGGCCTGACTCCACCTCCAGCTTCACCTTCCTGCTCGGTCAGCCCAGACCCACAGCACCCCGGGGGCTGCACAGCCCCATCCAGAATGGGGAAGGCGCCAGCAGGGGCGCAGCTACCTGGAGCCCAGCCTGAGTACTGCTGAAAGCATCTAGCTTATGTGGTGGCTAGTGAGGTGGCCGGCAGGCGGGCAGGGCGAGCCCACAGTGACAACTGCTGGAGGACTGGGAGGAGCCCCCATTACAGGAGTAGAGGCAGCCTGACCTCATCACCCAGCCGGCCAGCTCCCTCACAGCGGTGGACACAGGTCCCACTGCCCGCCTTCAGCCCACGGGGAGGGGCCGAGCCCGACAAATATGGAGGCCAGGCCAGGGAGAAGCGGACACCTGCTCAGCAGTGTGCACACGAGAAGCCTGGTGTCTCACAGGACAGTAGGGACAGGTTGGCAGGCAGCTCCTGACTTGGGGAGGGGCTGGCGGGTGCTCAGTGTGGCTGGGATGTGGCCAGAGGCTGCCAGGTTGCAGGCCACAGCGGGTTGGGCCCCATTTGAGAAGTGCTATGGCCTAAGAACCGGGGGTGACTGGCAGATGTGATGGGGCCCCAGCCCGCCCACCCAGGGTGCAGCACGTAGGGGGTGGGGGGAGGGAAGGGGGAGGGGCTTGGAGAGGGCCGGGAGAGGACCCTCTACCTCCCCCGGCCACCTCCAGGTGTCTTCCTTCTCCCCAGTGTGACCAGTATCGCAAAGGCATCATCTCAGGCTCCATCTGCCAGGACCTGTGCAACCTGCACAGGGTGGAGTGGAGGACCTGCCTCTCCTCCGTCCCGGGCCAGCAGGTGAGCTCAGCAGGTCGGGCCAATGTCGGCCCCAGGGCTCAGGTGCCCTTGGTGCAGCCAGAGGGGAGGCCTGCATGGATGCCTGTGGTCCCGTGCAGGTGTACAGCGGGCTCTGGCAGGGCAAGGAGGTGACCATCAAGTGTGGCATTGAGGAGGGCCTCCACTCGAAGGCTGGGTCAGACGTGGCGCCCCGGCGGGAGCTGGTGCTGTTCAACAAGCCCACTCGGGGCACCTCGATCAAGGAGTTCCAGGAGATGACCCTCAGCTTTCTCAAGGTCAGTTGGCTCTCCTGGGGGCTGTGTGGAGTTCACGCCCGGGCACGTGGCTAGCCAGGGGCCCAAGCCGACTCGCGCTCGGGGAGCACCCACTAGGCTTGGAGGTTGGAGGACCCACACAGATGCAGGGGCATCTGTGGGGAGAGCAGGGAGGAGGTGCAAGGGAGCAGACGAGAAGTGACCGGCCCCACCGAGTGTTCCTCACCTCTGTGCTGAGGTCTCCAGCTCCAGGCTTCCCAAGCACTGGCGGAGACAGGGTCACTAGGGACACAGCGCTGGCAGCAGCTCCAGGAGATACGCAGCCACACGGGCTTCCAGGAAGTGGCGAGGGGGCCTCTGGGTCCCTAGTGGGCACCTCCATCCTCTTGGCTGGAGGCTGGGCTCCCCAAACCTGGCGGACGTGTGGGGTCTGGCGTGCAGCCTGCTTGGCCAGCCAGCTCCCTTATACCCCAGCCTCCTTTTCTTCTGGCCCCAAACATTAGGCAAACCTGGGAGACCTGCCCTCCCTGCCCGCACTGGTTGGACAGGTCCTGCTCATGGCTGACTTCAACAAGGACAACAGGGTGTCCCTGGCCGAGGCCAAGTCGGTGTGGGCCCTGCTGCAGCGGAACGAGTTCCTGCTGCTGCTGTCCCTGCAGGAGAAGGAGCACGCCTCGCGGCTGCTGGGCTACTGCGGGGACCTCTACGTCACCGAGGGCGTCCCGCACAGCTCCTGGCCCGTGGCCGCACTCCCGCCCCTGCTGCGC